ACTAAAACTCTAAGGGTAACACAATTACACAAGTTTTATCTTTTTATTTAAAAATTAAAGAAAAAAAAAGTTTTTGGTATATGGTCTCACTTGCCACCCAAGCTGGCGTGCAGTGGTATGGTCATAGCTCACTGCAGCCTCGACTTCCCTGGGCTCTGGCGATCCTCCTACCTCAGCCTCCTGAGTAGCTGGGACCACAGGTATGTGCCATCATACCTGGCTACTTTTTAAATTTTTTGTAGAGACGAAGTTTTGCCATGTTGCTCAGGCCGGTCTGGAACTCTTGGGTTCAGGAGATCTGCCAACCTTGGCCTCCCAAAGTGCTGGGATTACAAGCATAAGCCAGGCCTACAAGCCTTATTTTCATACATGCCAATTCAGTTACCAGCAATGTACACAGTTCAAATATTTCAGTTGTAATTTAGGGGCATTTTTACCAGAATAAACTTGTTTTTTTGCCAAACTTTAAACACACAGGTAATAGATTAGTAGCTGTTTTGCAATGTCCCAGTTATTTTTCTATGCATTTATAATACCCATCTATGGGCACGTATAGAAATAGGTCTTATTTTTGAAACATAAATGGAATCATCCTATATACTGTGCAGTGACTTGCTTTCTTAGCACTATGTTGTGGTGATCTTTTCATGCCAACACAGATCTACCTCATCCTTCCTTTTAAATGCTAAACTATACACCACTTACGGATTTAATTTTTTTTTTTTTTTGAGACAGAGTCTTGCTGTGTTGCCAGGCTGGAGTAGTGCCAAGATCTCGGCTCACTGTAACCTCTGCCTCCCAGGTTCAAGCAATTCCTCTGCCTCAGCCTTCAGAGTTGCTGGGACTATAGGCAAGTGCCACCATGCCCGGCTAATTTCTTTTGTATTTTAGTAGAGACAGGGTTTCACCATATGGGCCAGGATGGTCTCTATTTCCTGACCTCCTCATCTGCCTACCTCGGCCTCCCAAAGTGCTGGGATTACAGACGTGAGCCACAGTGCTTGGCCCAAGTTGTTGATTTTAAAACAAAATAACATAATGTGATTAAAGAGGAAGCTCAGAACTGATTTATTGCCCAAAACAAAAAAATGTAAGAGATGACTAGAATTTTTAGTTTCTTCTAAAAGCAAAGCTCCTATCTAGAAAGAGTGATCTTAATGGTATAATCTTACAGTAAATTCCAGACTGTGTGGTAATTTTTAAAAAGTTGTACACTAAGATGAAAAAATAGCCCTACATTAAGACACATCACAATTTTTTAACTGTACTTTAGGTTCTGGGGTACATGTGCAGATCATGCAGGACTGTTGCCTAGGTACATAAATGGCGATGCGGTTTGCTGCCTCCATTCCCCCCATCACCTCTATCTGGCATTTCTCCCCATGTTATCCCTCCCCAACTTCCTCCCCCCCCCACTGACCCTCCCCTAGGTATTTTTACAAGTCTTATAACTCAGTACTTTGAGCAATCTTAGTGGTACATTTACGTTGAATGTCTTTTTTTTTTTTTTTTTTTTTGACGAAGTCTTGCTCTGTCACCCAGGCTAGAATGCAGTGGGTGGTCTCAGCTCACTACAACCTCCACCTCCCCAGTTCAAGCAATTCTCCTGCCTCAGCCTCCCAAGTAGCGGGGATTACATGTGCCCATCACCACACTTGGCTAATTTTTTTGTATTTTTAGTAGAGACAGGGGTTCACCATGTTGGCCAGGCTAGTCTCAAACTCCTGACCTCGGCCTCCCAAAATGCTGGTATTACAGGCATGAGCTATGGCGCCCGGCTGAGTATCTCTTTTAAAAAGTTACTAGAAATTTAGAAAATACAAAAAACCATTTAATTCAACCTCAGTATAACAATACTTGGAGTCCAATGATTAAAAATTTTTTTAAGAGTAATACATGAATTTGATTAAAATAAACTTGTACTGACAGGTTTGTAATAGAGTGTAATCTTTTCTACCTCTCACAGTGGAATCTGGACCTATTGGACAAAATCTAGGAGTAGTCTTTAAGACTCAGAATGTAGTGGCTCATGTCTGTAATCCCAGCACTTTGGGAGGCTGAGGTAGGCAGATCACCTGGGGTTAGGAAATAGAGACCAGCCTGGCCAACATGGTAAAACCCTGTCTCTACTAAAAATACAAAAATTAGATGGGCATGGTGGCCCTCGCCTGTAGCCCAGCTACTTGGGAGGCTGAGGCTGGAGAATCACTTGAACCCGGGAGGCAGACGTTGCAGTGAGCCAGGATCGTGCCACTGCACTCTAGCCTGGGCCACAGAGCTAGAATCCCTCTCCAAAAAAAAAACAAAAAAAAAACAAAAAAAAACAAAAAAAAACAAAAACCTAGAACTGTGAAAATCAGAAAGTCAGAAGCACTTTCCTGAATGGCATACCCACTGACTAGAACAGCTTCCACACCTTAGCATGGACAGGAAATGGCAAACTTGACAAGAACCAATGTCCTGAGGCCCAGGGACTTGTACAAGGTTGGCTGTGTAAAACTGAGGAGGTTAGGTCTTCACTGGGTCTGTTTCCTTATGTTTACAATAGCAATAACAACTATCCTACCTGGGAAGAAAGATGGAGGAAGGCTGAGAGGGTCCAGTGATACCATGAAAAAGAGTTGGCAATGTAAATCCTAGACCACAATGGCCCACAGACCAAATTGGGCAGCTGTTGGTTTTTGTAATAAATAAATAAAATTTTATTGCTCCTGCCTCAGCCTCTGAAGTAGCTGGGATTACAGGCACCTGCCGCCATGGCCAGCTCCTGCCCCAGCCTCCCTAGAAGCTGGGATTACAGGCACCTGCCACCATGCCCGGAGTAGAGACGGGGTTTTGCCATGTTGGCCAAATTGGTTTTTATAGGGTTTATGGCTGGTTGTGCACTAAAGCTGAGTGGTTACTATAGACCATATGGTCTGCAAAGACAAAAGGATACGCTATATGACCCTTTACAAAAAATGAATTAGGGACTGCAGTTTTAGACCACTATGATTTTTTTTTGTTTTTTGTTTTGTTTTGTTTTTTTGAGACAGAGTCTCCCTCAGTTTCCCAGTCTGGAGTACAGTGGCATGATCTTGGCTCACTTGAACCTCCACCTCCTAGGTTCAAGCAATTCTCTTGCCTCAGCCTCCCAAGTAGCTGGGACTACAGGCGCACATGGCCACACCTCATTTTTTGTAATTTTTTTTTAGAGACGGGTTTGCACCGTGTTGCCTAGGCTAGTTGTGAACTCCTGAACTCGGGCAATCTACCTGCCTCAGCCACCCAAAGTGCTGAGACTACAGGTGTGAGCCACCATGCCCGACCGGCACTATGGGCTTTTAACAACCCACAAGTGTGTGACTGCTGAATCTCAGAGGCAGTAAAAGCTGTTGAGGAACTTGGGAGTGTCAGCACTAGGTGGATCAAACCTGTGGCTGAGAAGTGCAATTGATATGTCTAAGGTCACAGGCATTTTACGTGGACCTCTGGAGCACACCACCGTTACCACAAGCGAAAAACTACAAGGGATGAGGGTAGGTGAGGACAGTGAGGCCACTGGGGTCCAGTGTCAAGTTCAAATGGCTGGTGTGCAGTGACCAAGTTCTCAAAAGGGGACAGAAGAGCCTCATCTCAAGGCTGATCGTAACTGAAACTTATCTGTGCCTGTAGCAGCAATATCTGGAAGTGGAAAGCAAGTTTCCAAGGCCCTAAAGAGGGTCTCAGGAGGCAGCCTTTAATAACCTAGGGGTCCTCCATCTCCCGAGTCCACTGCAGGGGCTGGAGATGGGTGTGGTGGAGGTGGCTGTTTATTGAGGCCTAGTGTGTTACAGGCAATATAACTTCAAGAATTTATGCAATCTCACCTGAACCTCACAGACACCATATGGCACAGGGGGTAATATTCCCATTCAAAGCTGAAGATGAGGTCAGGCATGGTGGCTCATGCCTGTAATCCCAGCACTTTGGGAAGCTGAGGCGAGTGGATCACCTGAGGTCAGGAATTTGAGACCAGTCTGGCCAACATGGCGAAACCCTGTCTCACTAAAAAATATAAAAATTAGCATGGCGTGGCGGCAGGTGCCTTCAATCCAGCTACTTGGGAGGCTGAGGCAGGACCCGGGCGTGGTGGCAGGTGCGTGCAATCCCAGCTACTTCGAAGGCTGAGGCGGGGGAATTGCTTGAACCTGGGAGGCGGAGGTTGCAGTGAGCCAAGATCGCCCCATTGCACAC